ATTCTGATTTTGACTAGATTCGACGTGAGTGGAGGTCGATTCGAGAGGCAAAGGCGTTGCGGAGTAGTATTTTCACCGGTTTGAGGTAAGTAACCATTATAAATCTGGAACTGAGGGTACAAAACCCCGGTATTTGACTTGCTTTGATAAACACGGTGACGCACATGCTAGGTGACGAGCGTGTGGGCGTGCACCGGTAGGGATTGTGACTTGGTCCATCCCGTAGCGACTATTAAGCCGCGTATTTGGTTTGGAAATATTATATTATTCCTTGTTTTGGGTATTATACTATATTATGGGCTGTATGCCGTGTTTGGGGCCTTGTGCCGACCTGTAGCAACCCTTAGGGGCATTTTGACTATTTTCCTCACTTTACTTGCTAGAAGCAAGTCATGTTTTACCTACTTAAATGTTTAAAACTGGTTTATTACACTACTCCTATTGGTGAGGACTGTCTGGTTGAGTTCCCTAGTTTCCATTGTTGTGCCCGAGAGGCTGTGAGGTTAAAGACTGAGAGAGGTTGAGAACCCCAATTGTGAGGATATTTATACATATACATATATATGGATCGGGCTGCACGCCGTAACGATACTTATATGTATCGGGCTGTACGCCGCAGCGATGTATATATTGGATCGGGCTGCACGCCGCAGCGATATGACTCTTGGGCTGTAGGAGCCCCTCCGGTGTCTGCACACCCCAGTGAGCGTAGTCGACTATAAACATATGGATTGGGCTGCACGCCGCAACCGTTACTATGATTTCTATCTTTATGAGATATAAATGAGCCGAGTGCTGAAAGTGAGTACTAAGAGACGAGAGTTGAGTCACGAGTGACTGAGAGGCTTCCCGATGGGCCATATTCTGAGTGATTCTTTGCCCGAGGGGCCCTTATTATGCTGTTTATACTATTTCACTCTTCTTTTAAATAAGTCTCTGTTGGATATATGGCTAAATAACTGATTTCAATGTTTTAAATTGGAAATGATGATTCTTTTGACGGAACTGATTTTAAGGTTATATGTTTTCGAACTGCTCGTCACTGCTTTCAGTACTTATTTACTTTAGTTACTTACTGAGTTGGCATACTCACGTTACTCCCTGCACCTTGTGTGCAGATCCAGGTGCCCGAGCGGCCGAGTGAGAGCTTTTCAGTTGTTCAGCATTTGCTGGGGATTTCGAGGTAGCTGCATGGCGTTCGCAGCCCTGATTTCTCCCCTCTATCTTGTTATCTTTCATGCATTCTTCTAGACTATTTATGTAGTGGATTTTCAGACTTGTATTAGAGGCTCTAGACTCGTGACACCAGATGTTTGGGCTGTGTAGTTATTTTTATTTTTACCTTCCGCATATTTCTGCTATTTTAACACTTATGATGAATTTCGTATTTATAACTTGTGATAGAAAATGGCTTAATGTTAAAGTGAAATCTGTTGTGGTTAGTTAAATGGTTGGCTTGCCTAGTAATGTGATAGGCGCCATCACGACCGGTATTTGGGGTCGTGACAAACCCGCTTTCACAAGAAAATGGGGCGCGATTATAGGTTAAGCTGAGTACGACATATCATCCGTAGATGGATAGACAATCAGAGAATACTATTCAGATATTGTAGGACATGTTATGAGCTTGCGTCATTGATTTTGGGGGATCATGGGATCAGTTTCTACAGTTAGAAAAGTTCACCCACAACAACAACTATCAGTCGAGTATCTAGACGACTTTGTATAGGGCCTTATATTGGAGGCAAAAACATTCTCCGGTTGGTTGGTTTGAGCTTGGATAGGCTAGGTTGTTGGGTACTGATTTGGTCTGTGATGCTTTGGAGAAGGTGAAGTTAATTCAGGAGCGGCTTCGTAAAGTGCAGTCCAGGCAGAAGAGTTATGCAGACAGGAAGTCTCGTGATGTGGCATACATAGTGGGTGAAAAGGTTCTACTTAGAGTTTCGACCATGAAAGGTGTGATGAGGTTCGGAAAGAAAGTCAAGTTGAGGCCTCGATATATTGGTCCTTTTGAGGTGTTAGACAGAGTTGGAGAGGTGGCCTACAAACTTGCCTTGCCACCTAGTCTAACGGGTGCCCACCCAATATTTTATGTTTCTATGCTCTGAAAGTATTATGGGGATCCTTCACTTGTATTAGACTTCAGCACGGTGCAATTGGATAGGGGTTTGACTTATGATGTGGAGCCGTTGGCTATTTTAGACCGGCAGGTTTGAAAGTTAAGGTAAAAGAATATAGCTTCAATGAAAGTTCATTAGAGAGGTCAGCTGTTCTAGGAGGCTACGTAGGAGACTGAGCAGGAGATGCGGAGCAGATATCCTCACCTTTTTGAGACTCCATGTATGATTCTAGACTCGTTCGAGGACGAACATTTGTTTAAAAGGGGAGAATACAACGCCCTTACCAGTCATTTTGTGTATTGGGTCCCGTTTATCCCTACTTGACGCTTTACATATGAGTATTTTTTGTTATGTGACTTGTGGGGCTGGTTGGTTTAGCTCCGGAGAGGTTTTTGATTGAATTGGGACACTTAGTCTCAAGGTTGGGTGCTTAAGTTGAAAGAGTTGATCGGAGTTTGACTTTCGTGTAGACCATCCCGGAATGGTATTTTGCTGGTTCCAATAGGTTCGTACGGTAATTTTCGACTTAGGCGTAGGACCGAATTTTGATTTAGAGGTTCGTTATTTGATTTGGTGCTTTTTGGTGAATGTTGAAAAGTTGAAGGTTTGGAAGGTTCATAGGTTTGACTAGGAGTTGACTTTGTTAATCGGGTTCGAATTGTGGTTTCGGGAGTTGGAATAGGTGCGTTGTGTCATTTGGGACATGTAAGCAAAATTTGAGGTCATTCCGAGTTGTTTAGGTATATTTGACACAAGTTTTGAATTTGGAAATTTGGAGATTTGGATTAGGCTTGAATTGGGCCCGATTCGTGGGTTTGATGTTGTTTTGTGTGATTTTAGGCCATGAGTAGGCTTGTGTTATGTTTTGGAATTGGTTGGCATTGTTAGACAGGGTCTCGGGGGCTCCGGGACCCCCAGGCCTATTTCATATTGATTTCGGATCATTTTTTAGTGTGTTTCATTGTTGAAGTTTGCTGAGACTGATGTTTTTGCATCTGCGAAATTTTAGTCGCAGATGGAAGCCACAGATGCGGCCTTGGAGGCGCAGATGTGAGGTTTGGGCTGGAGGAGCTGAGCCTGCAGATGCGAAGGGTTTTTCGCATAAGCGAATGCGTTTCTACGATGGGTGGTCCGTAGAAGCGGACGTGCAAGTGCGAAGGTTGGACCGCAGATGCGCTTGATCGGCTCTTTAAGTGAATGCGTTGATGCGACGTTTTTACCATAGAAGTGGAGCCGGAGATGCAACAGATTATTTGCAAATGTGAAATCATTAGGCAGACTTTATATTTCGAAGGGTTTGGTCATTTTTCATTATATAGTGTTGTGGAGCTCAGCTAGATGAAATGTTTAGAGAGTATTTCACCATAATTCAAGGGGTAAGTAATCTTTACTTGTTTTTGGTGTTAGATATTAATTATCCATGTATTATTATACATAGTTTATGTGAATTAAAAGTAAAATTTGGGGATTTTTCACTATGATTTTGGAGAGTAAAATTGATAATTTGAGGGTCGATTTAGGTGAAACACATATATTTGGACTCGTATCTGAATGAATGTTCTTGATTTATGAGTTTGACGGGTTTCGGGATGCGGGCCTGAAGTTGACTTTTTGGGTTGACTTTGCATAATTGATTTAAGATCATAGCTTTATTATTTGAGCTTGTTTCTTATGGCTTTTATTGATGATAATAAGTTATTTTGGTTAGATTCGAGTCGTTCATGGGTCTATTCACGTGGGAAGGACTTTTTGGAGTATTGATTCACACTTTTTGAGATAAGTAACATATCTAAACTTGGTTGAGAGTAATTATCCATGTGGACTATGATACTTGAGATGTTTTTGGGGTGACGCACGTGCTAGGTGACGGGCGTGTGTGCGTACACGGGGGGTATTTATGATTCGGGTAGACCTTAGACTACTATAAGACCTGTTTGTTTTCATGCCTCGTTCTATCTGTGTTTTCTCTACTTGTATGATCATTTGAGCTATGATTCGTGTTAAAAATCATGTCAAGGCTATGTACTTATTTGTTTGAGACATGATAGGGCAATTTGATGTTTGCCTTAATTATAGTCATAGTCTTAGTCATAATAAGTCATCTGCATGTTCTATTTCAGTCTTTGTATATTATTTATATGTCATATCACATGCTGTTGTTGCCTTCTATATGTGATACCGTTTTGGGTAAGTTCCATGAGTTGTGAGCCATTGAGACTTGAGCGGTTGATGATTGATGTGGGCCATAGAGTCGTTTTGTGAATTTATATTGGATCGGGTTGCACACCACAACGGAGTGATATTTGGATCGAGTTGCACGCTGCAACGGTTATATTGATTGTTGATTAATGCTTGGGTAAGGATCCGCGCCCCTCCGGAATCTGATACTACAGTGAGCGCAGACATAGAGTTATATATGTGATTTGGTTAGGAGCATTCTTGCCAAGCACTCGTACAGTGCTGAGTGTGAATGTGTGTGTGATGGTGAGGGTCACTTGTGCTAGGCACCATGAGTGTGCTGAGAGTGAGTGTACTTGATGATTTCATTGTGATGTTATTGACTTGACATGTAGACAAAGAGATGTATTTTTCTCATGCTAGTTGGTAAACAAAATGTCTCATATATTGTTGAAAGTTTGGAAAATCATAGTTTCCTTGATAAACTCACATTTTAGAAATTTCGGTGAAAGATTGAGCCTTGACTGTTATACTTGAAAAACATGTCTAATCTTTTCGTAATTGTGAACGAGATGAACATGATATCTTTTGAGTTATTTACTTTTACTGCCTTTGTTATATTATGAATTATTATTGATTATTGGTGTTGGACACTGACTTTCTTCTGAACTCGTCAATACTTTCAGCCCGGGGTTAAGTTTGTTACTTATTTAGTACATGGGGTCGGTTGTATTCATACTACACTCTGTACTTAATGTGCAAATCCAGGTACTTCCGCGCGCGGTGATTGCTAGAGTTCACACCGGTACCAACTTGTGGAGACTACAAAGTAGCTCCTATATCGCTCGCAGACCTTGAAGTTCTCTTTTGTTTATTTCTGTTATCACTATTCTATCGTTCAGACAGTTTGTATTGAGGATTTGGCTACGATTTTGAGTTTCTGTAGTGCTTATATACTCGTTAATACCATATCATTGGGATGGATGTAGTTGCGATCTTGTTGCTATTTAAGATATTTATGATTATTCCGTTGTTGAGATTATTAAACTTCTGTTAATTGAATTTACTGTTATTGTAAAATGGTTGGCTTGTCTAGCAAGCAGTGTTAGGTAATGTCATGGCTTTGGTGGGAGTTTGTGAGTCGTGACACCTAACAATCGGTGTTAGACACCCTCACGACCCCGGGTGGTTGAGATTTTGGATCATGACAAAGTTTATGTAATTGTCATAACTCAACTTCATCATGTCTGACATGATTTATTGGGGCCCAATTATAGTAAGAAAGAAAATTTATGCTTCAATCCAAAATAAATTAGAACAGGTTATATAGCTTGTTTCGCCAAGCTTATCCAAGCTGAAAAGCACTTTTTTTGAACTTTTTTTCCACAATTGAAGTGTTTGGCCAACCTTTTCGAAGAAAGAAAGTGCTTTTGAGTAGAAGTAGAAACAGTTTTGGAGAAGCAAAAAAAATTAGCTTATTCCCAGAAGCACTTTTGAGAAAATATACTTTTAGCCCGTATGGCCAAGCTTCTAAAATCAGCTTATTTTGAGAAGTGCTTTTCTCAAAAGTACTTTTAAAAAAAGTACTTTTGGTGAGAAGTAGTTTGTGCTTGGCTAATTAATTAGAAAAACACTTTTGAGCAGTAATTAGTGTTTGGCCAAGCTGTTGAAAACTGCTTCTAAGTGTATTTTTCTCAAAAGTGCTTCTCAAAAAAGTGCTTTTGGAGAGAAGCTACTTTTTTCTGCTTCTCCAAAACTGCTTTTGCTTCTCCTCAAAAGCACTTTTTTTCCTTCCAAAAGCTTGGCCAAACACCTCAATTTTTGGCCAAAAGTACTTTTGGCNAAAAAAAAAAAATTAGCCAAACAGGCTATTAGAAACACTTTTTAAAAACTTGGCAAACACTAATTGCTACTTAGAAGTGCCTTTCAAATTAATTAGCCAAATACAAAGTGCTTCTCACCAAAAATATTTTTGAAAAAAAACACTTTTAAAAAAAAAAACACTTCTCAAAATAAGCTGAGTTTTCCGGCTTGAACAAACAGGCTATAAAAATAAGCACTTCTAAAAATTCATTCTTTTCCAAAGAGGAAGAAAATGAAAATACATATAAAACTTTCTCATAATTCATTTAAAGGAATAATTTGATACTTTGAATAAATTCGATTTACATGTCAAAAATCCTTTTAAATTTCTAAAACTTCGTCTCATTTAAACACTTGACCGCAAGAGAGTAGTAATTTTTTTTTATATTTTAAAGACAACTAATAGAATTGCAAAACAAAATTTCAAGAAAAATAGTGCAATAGTGAAGGGCAAAACACACAATTCAACAGAAGTATGTGGTCAGTATATAATTAGCTCGTTTGTATTATCAAAAATCAAAATGATAAGGACAACAATAGAGTGGATCAAAGACAGAGGAATGAGAGAGCAGCTGAGCCTATAAGTTAGTCCCTCTCTGAAAAAGTTGAGTTTTTTATTTTATTTATAAAAATGGCGTTCGGATCAGTTTGATCACCTCAACTAATTCACCACACACTTAAATCTATATAGTAGCGGTGGAATTGCAAGTAAAAATTCGGAATCTTTGTCTTGTTCATTATTCGATCCTAATCCAGGATATCTAGCATTTGTTTGCAATTTCAAGTCAACACCATCTCCAGATTCTTCTAGATTGCTCCCTGGTGAGTTCCATCTCTGATTTCGCATCTAATTTCGCATTTTTGATGGACTAGTAAAATTTATACTTGATCTTCATTTTTCTTTTGTTTAGATTCGTTGTTATTCGATCCTAATGGCTTTAATGGAATGGAATCTCAGTACCTATAGAAAAGCTCAAGACCATAAGGGAAGGGGGAACAAGCACCATCTCTTTGAATCAAACCTTTCCAGGATTGATTATTTCCCTTTTTCTAAATTATACAACCCCTGGCTTCACATAAGTTTTCACTGTGAATGGATATTGCTTCAATTAGTCTCTAGTGTCCAGCTCGATATGAACAAGATAAGCTGGTAGGTGGATAGGCTTCTGTCTCACCAGTAGGACATGCCCTTCTCCCCTTATCTTCCTTTCCTCTGAGCAACTACATAATTCCAATCTATGGAAATGCTTGGGACTGCATCTACTATTGTAAAGGCGGGAACTTTTTTGCTAGCTCCATTGTCTTTACTTCTTGTTGTAGCTTTTGATAGAGTATTGAAGAATTAGCAAGAGTTATTTCCTGCATTCAATTCTTTAATATGAATGAAGTGTATTTGGGATAGGTAATGCCATTTGGAAATATTTTATAGCATAAGTAATATAGATTCTACTGTTTGCCCCGCCTTTATTTTGTAACATGGATTATCTGATGCAGTTTCAGACATGGACTACACTGGAGGTCCAACTTTGTTTCCCTTGCATCGCTGCAAAACAATTCACCTGGTTGGTTCAAAGTTTCCTGAATTTTTTTTGTTGTACTTCGTATTGAAGATTTCAAGCAGTTATGACTTTGTTTTGAAGGACAGTCGAGGTTGAGTTCCCTATTGGATTTTGCTCACAATTTTGAAGGCTTTGTGGTCTTATTAAAACCATATATCTAGGTAAGGCATGGCCAGGGCATTCACAATGTTGAAGGAGACAAGAATTACAAAGCATACCTGTCTCCTGAATATTTTGATGCACACCTTACTACACTTGGTTGGCAACAGGTGGGAGAGCATCCCCGATTTTTTCACTTAATCTAAATACTCCTCCTCCTTACTCTTGATGCACCTCGATTCTTATTTCTTATATATCTTTGGCTCTTGTATCAGGTTGATAATTTGCGTAAACACGTTCATGCAAGTGGCCTCTTTAAGAGAATTGAGTTAGTTGTCACGTCTCCTCTGCTAAGGTATCAAATTTTTCCTCTTTGAATGTGACACATGATTTATTTTGCCTTTTACAACCCAACCCAAACAAGCAAAAGCAGTAGGGACATGGAAGACAAAACTTGGTTATTCCCTTTAGGATGATTTACAATCTTAGTAGCTATTAGGTGTGACCCACTAGGAAGTCCTCATGTTGTATACCTCTTTTTGTAATCCAAGGAAATGGGGAGATTGACGAGGATGTCACACATTGTATTGGAGCGGGGTTGGAGGCTCGCATCCGATGTTTTGTGTAGTAAGAATGTGCCACCAAAACTTAAAGGTAAGTTCTACTGAGTGGTGGTTAGACTGACTACGTTGTATCGGGCAGAATGTTGGTCAGTCAAGAACTCCCATGTCCAGAAGATGAAAGTAGCAGAAATGAGGATGTTGAGATGGATGTGTGGGCATCAGGATAGATAAAATTAGGAGTGAAATATTTTGGATAAGGTGGGAGTGACCCCCTGGAGGACGAGATGCGAGAAGCGAATTTAAGATGGTTCGAGCATGTGAAGAGGAGAGGCACATGTGCCACAGTAAGGAGGTGCGAGAGGTTGGCCTTGGTGAGTCTGAGGAGAGGTACAGGTAGGCCAAAGAAGTATTGGGAAGAGGTGATTAGGCAAGATATGACGCTACTTCAGCTTACCGAGGACATGACCCTCCGATTGGAGAGTGTGGAGGTCGAGAATTAGGGTAGAAAGTTAGTAGGTAGTCGAACATTTTTCTTTTCCATAGCAGTAGTATTAGTGTTAGTCTTGTATTCTTATTCTTAGATTTTTATTACTACCTGTTGTTTCTTTCACTTTGATTTTCTTATTATCTTGTTGTTGATACCGCTTGTTGCTACTGCTTCTTTTTTCATCTTTTCTTGACCGAGGGTCTATCGGAAACCGCCTCTCTGCCTTCCCAAGGTAGGGGTAAGGTCTGGGGCACACAACCCTCCCCAGACTGTGGGATACACTGGGTTTGTTGTTGTTGTTGTAGCTATTACGGAACTTTATGAGAACTTACGGTTGACTTTACAGGACAATGCAAACAGCAGCTGGAGTATTTGGTGGTGGTGGCTACAAAGACAGGATGGATATACTACCATTGATGGTGGCGAACACAGGATATAGTGACCGCTCTGCAATTTCTAGTCTGGATTGCCCTCCTATCATCGCGCATGAGCTTTGTCGTGAACACTTGGTATGTCAGTTGAACACCTTCCTGCTTGTCAAGATACTTTGTTCTCTTTTCTTTAGTTGTCTTCCATCTTATGTAGAGCTTAAGTCTGTATCACACCTGCAGAAAGGTTGAAATATTCCTGAGCAAATGTGGCAAAAGTTAAATCTCCACTGCCAGCATGCAAATACGCTAGACGGAAAAGTAACTATTTCATTAATCTTAAGAATGAGATATCTTGGGTATTTGAAATATGAGAAAGTATATGCTGCAAATGGAGTTGGAGAGTTGACTTCTGCAGTATTGGTAAAATCGGCAGTAAATTTGTCTCTCTCTGTTTTAGTTACCATTTTAATAATGTTGAGTATATAGTGAACTTGCCCGTTCTTTGAGTTGAGTTGTGAAGGAGAGAAATAGAAGAGCATTTCAGGATGATGTATTAGGCAGAGAAATAGAAGAGCATTTCAGGATGATGTATTAGGCAAAATATATGTTAATTAGTCTTTGGAACACTGTAGGCACACATTTTGTTGTCACTTCTTATCTGCGAATTTTGGGATGTATTAGTGCTTACACACTGAGGCGGATCCAGAATTTAAATTTTATGGGTTCAGATCCGCAATTCTACTATATATCATCTAATTTAATGAGTTCAAAATTTATTATTTGTACATATTTAATGATTTTTTTGGGCAAAAATACAGGGTATGAGCGAAAGCTATAGGTCCCATAGCTTCTACACTAGATATGCCTCTGCTTACACATATATGAATACCCATAGCTTCTACACTAGATACGCCTCTGCTTACACAATATGAATATACTTATAAATATCCAGCTAGAAGTGATCTGAGTCCAGTTTCTAGTCAGTTAGATCTATGTTCTTTTCTAGTTCTCCTGTTTTTCTCAAGCTCATAATCAGCTCTCATCCTACTTGTTCTTCCTATTCTTGAGATTAGGCTGTTGTCATTTTACTATATAAGAATGTGGTAGAAGCTTTCTGTTTCTTTTCCACTCTTGTTCTCAATCTGCTGGGTCACAGAATACAATAATTGTAACTTTACATTATAAAAAGAGATGTTGTCTTAACTGTGTCAATTATGATCTGTGACATCTAGTGGTTCAAATTTCTGTGTTTATGAATAGATAACTGATGCTTTATCTATTATGCTTTCAGTTATTTAACTTCTGCCTAATATAATTTGGTGGCAGGGTGTTCATCCTTGTGATAGCAGAAGGAGCATAAGTGAATATCAGTGTCTCTTTCCTGCAATTGATCTTTCACTGGCAAGTATTTAACAATTTAAACTTCTTCCATGTCTTTAATAGTAGTACACGTGCTTGGTATGGCTATAATATGTCATTTCAAATGATATGCCTTATCATGGACCTAATGAATATGTGGTATTTTGTTCAGATTGAAAGTGACGAGGATACCCTGTGGAAGGCCAATGTTAGGGAGACAAAGGAAGAAGTCATGGCTAGGGGAATAAAATTCCTGAACTGGTTAGGTTCAACACCCCCCCCCCCCCCCCAAATTTTTCTCTCTTCTAGGCGGTGGTAAAGAAGGGAATGCCTTTTAAGTTAATGGAATGTTTGTGTCTGTTCTTGGTTGTAGAAATTGCTGGACTTTGCAAGACTATATTTTGCACATGAAAAACAGGTCTTTAATGCTTCTGTTAAAGTAAAAGAAATTCATATTGTAATAAGGAAATTGACAAGAACTACCACAAGCTGAAATTGATGCAGTTAGAAGAGCGTAGAGTCGAAGAAGAGATGGAATTTCTCCTTTTGCCTTAGTTCTGATCCAATGATTGCTAGGAAAGAGAAATCTTTTTGGAAAGGTAAGTAATGATTTCTAAGAAAGAGTTAAATTGTTTTCTCAAAAGGATGTAGGGTATATGTAAATGGACTATATCAAACTTAGACATGGCAAGATTTGAGTCAACAAGATCTTATAGGTAAGCAGCAGCAAAACTGGCCCTAGTATTATATGCGGACTGCCACTGAAGGAAAGTTGATGGGTGTTCCTCTATTTATTGTCAATGGAAGACATTGCGAACTGGAAATTCTTTGTGGAGACTTGTTTAGTTAGTTGTCTCGACCACCTAGTAGGATGCATCAATGAAGTCATGGAATGGGCAGCTAGGGCAGGGTGGATAACAGCCGACATCAAGGAGTGTAGGTCAAGTAATCTATTGACATCATTTCGTATGTATTCCGTCGAAATAATCTTATATACAGATGTAAGGTAGATGGTGACTTGTTTCTATCATTGGATATATGGATGTTCACCATCCAACTTAAAGTAACAACTAACAAGTGACATCCAGATTACACTTTCATATAAGACTATTTCGACGGAATACATAAAAATGATATCAGCGCATTACCTATGGTGCAGGTGCATGGAACTACTTATCAGGAGGAGGAATTTGTCATGGCCTTGACTGTCATATCTAGGGTAAAACTTTTTGTTAAAGAAAGGGAGAGATCCCCACCTTATGGAAGTTTTCCATGTCCTGTATAACTATCCTCCAGAAGGGGCACAAAAATGGTCCCTAACCCCAAATACTTCAGGAACCTTAGTTAGGATTGACGAGAAAGATAGGAAGAGATATGGAGCACACTAGCAAAGAGGAAGGCTGGAGGAAAAGTTGGGGAAGAGGCCGTCTTAAATGCACATGATGAGTGACGGCGGCCTAGTGTCAGGCAGATGAAAGCAAGTGGAAGATGACACTAGACCTAGTTTTCTTGGGCCAGGATGTATGGACATTAAATCAGTCCCTCCTTAGGCCAAAAGTGCATATAATTATGGAGATACTGACAAACTCAAAGTTGTGATAGATTTCAGCCCAATGACAATAAGGTTAGAGGAAACAAAGCTAGGAGGCCCAAGGAAGAAATCTAAAAATTGACTAGTAGGCCAGCTGAGCCTACATCTTACGAGCCCTTTGTTGAAGGAAGCGGTTGTTGCTTCACTTAAGAAAATGGTTGTCCAACCTAGGCACGACAAGCCGAGGCTCGTGTCACGTCCCAAACTGTCCCTAGACGTGATTGTCGCACAACACTCCACACCTGCCCGGCGAACTATATCCCATATAATTAACCATTTATACAACCACTTAGAGAAAATAAGTGCAGGTCTAAAAGCATTATTAATTATTAAATGCGGAATAATTATCAACCAAATCCATAATCTATTAATAGAAAATCAACGATTACTTAAGTAATAAAACTCTAGCCCAAATCCCACGCTAAGACAATCGAGCATCTAATAAAGTTATATGTGTTTAACTAGCGGGCATGCAAATCCAAAGCAAAGGAAATAATTGGCATAAACTAGATAAAGCTGAGATGACCTCCATGAACAACGCGGTGGCTCACCTCAGCAACAGAATCAACCCTAACAAATTCATCAACCACTAGTTCTTCCGTCCGCAACAGTATCTGCATAGAGATGCAGGTAAATAGTGAGTTATACGTAAATATAACCCTGTAAGATCCTTGACCCGCCCCTTTGAGTACTCCTAGAACAAGTGTTAGAAAATACAAATACAACATATGTATAATTAAAATATTCAACAAGAGCCTACCACTTCTGATACAATTTTACACTAAAGACCTGTCATATTCGGGGTGGAGGAAATTAACCAAACACCCCAACGCTATGCTCCAAATCTATCACGACGGCATACATAATGCCCCAAGTATATTACAGCAGCAAAGAAATTAATTGAACACTCCAATGCTGTGGCACGAAGCCATGCTACACAACCAATCAATCATTAAATTATTTCAGCATTTTAAATAAAATAGTATATTCACGGCTAGTCACAGACTACCGATTCTGCCAAGCACACGCTCGTCCCAACACATGGACCAGGCAGGCAAAATATAGTTTAAAAGTAAGCTTTGAAAAGCAAGCACCAAAGCTTAAAGTCTCACTTGTCTCACTTCCGCAGCCTTGCGACGTCTAGAAGACCAACCATTCTATCCAAATACTAATTAACACGTTCTAATTAGTCTAGGTGTATAATTTCCGCAATTTTAGGACAAGTCAAAATCAAAGTCAACCCCCGTCCAATTAAATAAAAATTTGTACACAAATAAATGCCAAATGAGGCACTTTAGTAGTGAACCAAAATGCCCAAACAGTGGCTTTAGTCATACCACCAAGCCATCATCCTTACTTTAATCATGGCATCATGATGATTCCTATATTCCGATGTACTTAGTAGCAGTATTTGTGGCAATGTCAAATAAGAGGCCGCGTTTTCAAATTCCCCATCTCATATCTTATCATTACAAGCTATCAATCATTATCTCATCATTAGAACCCAATCATTAGTTAATCATCATCCCTCACGTCATTACCCAAATCATTGGGTAGTCATTATTCTTCCTAAATTTAAAAGAACAAGAATCAATACTACAATTTTTTTCACCCATAGCAGATTAGCTTTTCATATCAAATTCCACTAACTCATTATCATTTCCATGTTATTTACTCCACAATCATTGGCCTAATCATTATGTCTCCCACACATCATCATCATCATATAATTGATTCATTATTGGCATCATTAATACTTCTTAGATAAAACACACACACTCTCTCTATATATATATATGTATATAAAATTTATTTCCTTGGGTCTAGGAAGAAAAAGAAAAGAAGCATACTCATAGAGAAATTCACTGGTGACGTACTAGGGCAGTGAAAATTTCATAGCTTGAGGTATTGTAATTTCATATGCTAATGGGTCAAAGAAATTACAATACCTAAAGTTTTTGAAATTTTCAGTTCCCTAACTCCTTAACATCACCGGTGAATTTCGCTACGAGTTTGCTTCTTTTCTTCCAAAATCCAGGGAAATAAATTAACCTAATTTCTACTCCCTAAGCCACAATGATTAATCAAACTTTCATTCTCATCTTCTATTTTTCCAAATTGATGGTAAAGCTTGCTCTGGGCACTTGTGTAGTTTTCAAAATTTGATTGTTCTAGTGCTCCTATCTTTCATTTAACCTTGAGGGAGTGAAGGAGCATTATGTATTTACGGTTTCCTTCTATTAACTGTCTTGCAGCACTCTTTTTTTCCCCCCTTATAATTCCTTTTTCTGGTGGCCCTTTTTCTTTTGGTTTGGGCTCTTGTTTTGTTTTGGGGTAGAGCTAGCTATGTGGTGTAGTATGGTCAGGCTCCGAAAGGAGTGATTTGTTAGTTTAGCTATTTTTCTGACTAGTCTCTTCGTTAATAGTGATGTTTTAAGAGTGCCAGGGAATGTGGAATAGTTTGCATTCTAAGTTTTTTCTTTTTTTTTTTTTTGTGGGGTGAGGTGTGGGGGGGGGGGGGGGGATAAATATTGCAGTGGGCTCAGGTGCTGGCACAGAAGAGAGATTGCTACTTTCCAATTTTCCTGACTAATGTGTTTGTTAATACTGAAGCGTAAGAGTGATGATAATGTGGAGCTTGTGTAGCTCCTCATCTGATTATGGAAGATACAGTTTGCATTCTAAGTCAGGGATGGAGAAGAGTTTTTCTTGAATATACTGAGAATTTTAATAGATCCTTGTGGTCCGGCCCTTCCCCAGACCCCGCGCATAGCGGGAGCTTAGTGCACCGGGCTGCCCTTTATACTGAGAATTTTAATAACATTTGAGTGCATGTAACAATTACTTAGATATGAAATAATGGCATGTTAAGATTTATGAAACATCACTGAGATGAACAAGTTAAAAACTTGAAATACTGTATTCTATCCCTCGATAAAATACCACTCTTTTACTTTACTCTCATCACAGAGAATTGAAAAGATATTCACCTCAAAGACATAACATGGATATGACACTACCGACCCAAAAAAGGGATGAAATTCTTAGTCATGAAATATTGACCTGATTTTGGTAATTGTGATATTTGGTTAAGCACATTTAACCTTCAACTAATTGAAGTGTGCACTTTTAATCCGTCTACTTGTTAATCTTCACAAATTTAATGAATTGTTAATTGCTAAAAGCATTTAATTACCCATGTGCTATCTTAAATTATATTGTTATCCCATATTTGAGGATAACATAGCTGTAAAAACTAATCTAAGTATAACTTTTTTCCTATATAAAGAGACCAAAAACACATATTTTAAATAAAATGAAGGTTAAATATATTTGGCGAAATATCACAAGGATCAAATTAAGAATTTACCATCAACCTAAGTTGCTCGGAGTCTCGGACTCTTTACTTTGGATGCCGCACCTATGTCGACACGACGTAGACAGAGGCGGATTTAGGGGGGCGGAAGGGTGTTCACCCGAACTCCCTTCGCCGAAAAATTACACTGTATATGTAAGCAAAATCTGTTTTATACCTTTATATATTATGTTTTGAATCCCCTTGACACAGCCCAAAAGCATAGCTTAGTGGTCAAGGGGTTCAAAACCTTTGTTAGGTCATTGGTTCTATTCCCACTAGCTACAACCATTTTAACTTTTTCCTTTTTTTTTTTGAACCTCTTTGGCTGTAATCCTGCCTCCGCTAGGGCTGTTCAAAATCGAACCGAAATGAACCGATGGCTTATTGACTTATTGATATCGGATTATCGGGGCATTGGATGGTGTACGGATTGCGATTTTATAATTAACGTCTTAACGATTTGGGAGCAGATTACTCAATTTTCTTATTGGGTAAACCGTTAACCCGTTAAGAATTTTTATATTTATACTTTTACCCCTATGTATATAAAATACTATTGAAAGTAATTTGTTGAATTGTCTGCTGGTTTTATCCGTGGATTGTCCGGTTTTATGTCCTTTTTTCCATGCAGCTAACAAATTAAAGTCTGATTTTCTGGATTTTTGGTTTTACAATCTGGATTTCTTGTGAAGAACGAATGTTTCTGAAAGTTTGATTGATTCATACGTGTATGAGTAGTCTTGAATATGAATTAGATTGGAACTTCGAAGAAGACTCTTCAATTCATAAATACTGTTAGATCTTAGATGGTATTAAAAGTTTGGTATTGATTTGGAATCGTTTGGTATTTGATTGAATGATTGTTCAAAAATTTCTATTTGGTTTAGCCGATAAACCGCCCGATAATTGCTAATCTGATACCAATCTGCTCGTTGTCTTATTGGATGGCTAGCGGATTACTATATTTATAATCCGATAACCGATAACCCGAACCGTTAAGTGTAATTATTCGCCTGATCCGCCAGATAAGTACCCCTAGCCTCCGCCACTGGACGTTGGTGTGGGTTCCCAACCGGATTTAATTAACCGATTTTGGGTATTTTGACAAAAATTGACTGAGAAATATGGGACAGATACAATGATTTTTGAAATCAAAACAAAAGCTATGGGGAATTGAAGAAAATGAAATGCCTTGTATATAGAAATTTCTATGTCAGATCTTTTCCTTTTATCTCGTTCTCAGATTCTCCTCTTGATCAATGTTTTCTCATTCTCGAAATACCTTGTCTCATAATCTAGACATATTTTTATAACTTTATTTTTAGATGTTTGAAATATTAATAGGCAATCCCGGCACCTGTATTTGTACCTGCATCTCTACCCTCACATCTTAAAATTTAGATCATGAAGGATTTGACATCTAGATCAGACACTGGCGCCCGAGACCGAGCAACTTAGCCAATAACTGAGTGATCAAAAGTGTAATTGTCCCAACAGAAAATGAAGAAAGAACATTTGACTCCTCCACTGCTCTGTTCTTCCCAGGGTGTTGTTTCCCTCTTTTCATTTTTTTTGGTGATTGGAATAAGATCAGATCAGAGCAGAAAAACTAGTAGTCGAGTGCTCATATATAGAAATTATTGTAGTTGAAATTTTATAGCCCTTTGACTTGACCCCATTGATTATACTTTTGGGGTCTTTTCTTGTAGGTTAGAATGGTTCTCTTTGATCTGCACCTTCTGCTTGCAAATGTTGGCATTGATTGCAATAAATGATGATGTCTTTCAGGAAAGACCTCAGCTATATCTGGGTTGCAAGTAGAGCTCAGCTCTTGCTTCTGATGCTCATGAAACCCCTCTGATCATTCAGGCGCTGATCTCTCAAATATATACATAACTGCACACCAGTGAGCTACGCCTCAATCCCAAACAAATTGGGTTCTCTGTGAATCCTCACTGACATGTTGCTCCATTTAGATGAAATATGTGAGGGAGGGAGGGAAGGAGAGGGAGAGGCAGAGGGAGATAGAGAGAGAGAGAGAGTGTAAAACTTACTATTACCATGAAGATTATCAATGTTCTGTACTTCAATTTGGTTGGGCCAGGTCTACCAGCTGCTAGATATGGGATTGGATAATGTTATATGCGTTAATGAGATCAGAATGCTAAACTTTTACTGATTTACAAGTAATCCTTTACCCAAATCATGGGCAAAGTAGGTGTGTTTATCAGTTTTTCTGTTCCTCATTGTAAACTTTCCCATCGATGCAGGTTACTCACACGAAAAGAGAAGGAAATTGCTGTAGTCTCACATAATGGACTCTTGTTTCATACAGTGAATGCACTTGGAACAGACTGTCATCCTTTTGTGAAGAAGGAAATTTGCAAACGGTAATTTTATCATTTCTTTCTTTCCTGACTAAACATTGGCAGATTGGCCATTTCTTTTCTTTCTTTCTTTTTTTTTTGGTTGAATTGTCCCTTCACTTTTCCTTGGCATGTAAGAGATTGCACAGTTTTTAAAATCACATAAAACGCTGTTCTTGGTAACTTAATACTAAGTATTTGACGAGAAAAGAAAAGATAAAATCTAGAAATTTTGTAGCAAGAGGGACTACTTTTCTAAAAGTAGCACATGGTTAACAGTTCTGTAAATCGGTAGAATGTTCTATAATGCTTCGATGACAACCAGAAGCAATCCAATGGAACAGAAAAACTTCAAGTATTTCAAATGTTTTTTGCATATACATGCAGGTTTGCTAACTGTGAACTCCGGTCTATGGTGATTGTTGACAGGAGGTAAGCAATGCAGTTTACCATCTTCCTTTGCACATCAAGACCTTTTTTGTTAGCCTCTCCCAAGTTAATTTGATTGTTCTTTATGTTTCCCAGCATGATCGGATCAGACTCTTCGATTACTAATTACCCAGGAAAAATACCTTCTGCTGCTACTTTACCTAGTGAGGCTGCAGATGAGAAAGTTCTGGAGAACGATGACAACCTCAATGATAAATGATAACCATTGGTATTGACATCATTCATTACTGTGGTATATCTAAGAGGATTGCTCAAGTACACCAATTATTTTTGAGAGTACGTGTCATCATCATTGAGACAATATTAGACTCGCAACGAATTCTTGGGATTCTGGGTTAGCTTCTCTTTCCAATGTGCAAGCCACATTCTACACAACCCTTTTCTTAATGTTATGGTCTAATTAAGGTTATGAGCCTAAAATTGTTCTTGAAAAGGGAAAAAATAGGAATGGAAATAATCTCATCAAGTGGCAGCGTCCATGGAAATGAACTAGATATCTAGTTCCCTTTGAGGATGTCATAAAATTGCAGAGCCAATATGTTCCTGGGGTCAGCACAACTTGCCCGAAAAGAGCCAATATGATCTTAACCCATCAATGTATAGGAATATGATATGATCCTATTAATGTTAAAAAAAAGTTTTGCACTATCAGGGTAGTCAATTACGAGTAACTTTTACTAGCAACAAGTATGGACTAATTACCTGCAAAAATCATGGTAAAAGACCTGTGACAGTAGGTATAACTACGAGCTTCTGACATAATTGGCAGTTCGACCAAAAAATATAAGGAAATTACCAGCTATGTCCATTTATAAGTAGCTCATTACAAAAATTGGCCAATTGATAAAATATTACTAATATTAGCCAAATTAGCCAATTAGCTATTTGTAGCAAAAAAATATCAAATTGGTGCTTTGTTTTGAGTGGATGTTATTAGAATAGATTGGGCATAACTTAAGAAGCTTGAATCTCAGTTTTGGGATGATTTGGTGAAGTTTTGAGGTGGTTTGAATTGAAAATTCGAAGTAAAAGCTGAGCATGAAAAAAAATGATATGTGTATCACACTGTGTATCATTTGTGTATCACATATGTATCATATTTGTATCAATTGTGTATCACATGTATATCCATGTATACTTGTGTGTGTGATACATGCGTGATATATGTTTGATACATGTGTCGCAGAACACTTTTTTGAACTCGATTTAATTACGAATTTTGATACAAAATCAGTCCAAATCACCTCCAATCTTCCTCAAATTTTGTATATTGACTTATCTATATATTTTCAATGAATTTCAACTATACCCATTGAAAAAGTTCCTTTTTTGTTTAGATTTTTAGAATATTGTATAGATTTTTGTATTTCATCACCTTATTTGCTACCCCGTCCATGAAATTTCCTTTCCGTCTTGTATCTAATGTTGCCAATCACGCTTAAAAATATGGAAGGTGAATTTTGCATGTGATTCTTTGATAGAAAGAACCCTATTATTTGGTTTTTCAATTTTTGTTGGCTAGTTTTGGTAAGTCTATGACTAATGGCTAGAGGTTGGTAAGTTAGAGATTTATTTGGGACATTTATGTAAGTTTCCCAAAAATATATCACTCGCTGGCCCATAGTTTTACATTACAACTTGTAGCCAAAAACAAATAATATATACTAACCAACAATTAGTTTTGAGCGATCCTTTGTCCCTTCTTCACTCTTTAGTCCTTCATGTAAAACTCAACAAAAACTAGTGTCCTAAAAATGTGGAATCTAACCAGCAGTAGCAATTATTTGATTTTTGGAAATGCAATTAGTTTATTTTAGATAAAACAAAGGAAAGCATTTCGAAAAGAACGGCAAAGATAAATTTACATGATAAATCACTATTTTGATGCACCTAACATAGAAATAATCAAAGGACCTAGAACTCTTCCTCATAGCTGACCTTAGCCATTGGCCATTGCCGATCCTATCAACACCTCTTTTACAAGTCTCTGTCTTTTTTTTTGTTCACCGAAAATGACCCAAAGACAGAAAAATTCGCATGATTAAAATTGGTGAAAATAGCTCGGGCCAGCCAGTTTTTGGACTGGTCATTAAAAAATAGCCAGTAATTGCAAAGTCATTGAAAAATAGCCATTATTTTACTGCAACACTGAAAGTTCCATCATAATATACCGGAGATTGGAGCATCTGTGTGTGAACTTTCAATATATTATGCTGGAACTCCAACACACGGAAAGTTCCAGCATAATATACTAGAGATTGGAGCACATGTGTATGAACTTCCAGCATATTATGCTGGAAGTCCAGTATATTATGTTGGAATATTTTTCGGATTTTGGTAATGTTTTCGTTCAGATTTATCTTTACATGAAAAATGGCTAAATTTCGTTTACTTTTGAAACTGTGACTATTTTTCAATTACTACTAGTAAATCTGGCTATTTTTCAATTTATCAATGTATATATATTGTATAATTAGTGTATACTTATAAAAATTCAAAGTGTATACAGATACACTATATATGCATTGTATATGAGATATGCTAATTATACATCTCATATACAAAGACCTTCAGAGTCCAAACCCCCCTTCTCACCCTTCCAGCATTTTCGCCCTTTCCATTCCCCCATTTGTTTCATTTTACTTTGTCTTTAACTTATTTTTTGTTCCTTCTTTTTCAATTTATACCCGTTAAACACATTCCTCTTCAAGTCAGAGCTTTCTTTTCCCTTCCTCTTTCCATTCTGGTGATTTAGGAGTGCCTTTTGAAAGAAACTTGCAAAGATTTGAGGAAAGAATCTCATTGAAGAATCCGTTCAAGTTCAAGATATTAAAATAGGTAAGTATTTGTTGTAATCTTTTGCTCCTTTTCATTATTTATTCACGGATTTTTCTCTCTTTCTTTTCTATCAATTTGAATCAAAATCTCAATCTTGTACGCTTTCCTTTTTGAAAACTTTTATTTCATGTCATAGATTCTTGCTCTAGTTATGGGATAACTTAATTTCGGGGATTTTCTTTTGCACTTGTATTGAATCAGATTTTTTAAAAATGGTCTAATTGATCTCTGATTTCTCTAAGTGATACGGTCAAAATCAATTCTTTCCTAATTTGCAGCCTTAAATTACATTCTGCTAATTTACTTGAGTACTAACTTTCCACAAGTATAAATACTTGTAAATTTTGAGCTAAAAGGGGAGGACTTTTGATCATTGCTCTTCATCACTACCATAACTTTTCTTTTACTGTGATATAATGTATTCACTGCTCTTCGTCTACTTCTTTGCTTGTTGCAAGCCAAAGCAAAGTTTGGTTTCTTTTATTTCACTCGACACAAGTGTTGCTCGAAATTCTTAGAAGTTCTGGTGATCTCGCAGCGTCGAGATTTGAGTGTTGGTTTCTTGTCGCTATCATTGGAGTTTTCTCATTGCAATCACTGCGTATTTCTGGAGTTTGTTTGGCCTATTTACTGCTGTTGAAGCTCTATTCGTTAATCATTATTTGGATTTCTGGTTTTCTTATGAATTTGGTACTCCACAAACAGGTTAGTTTCCTGAACGACGCATTATGATTCCTTTACGTGTTGGTTGTTGTTAGAATAGACTAGTCCTTCTCTTTAGTTTTGTATTCTGTAAAACTCTTGGATATGCCGAGATGCTGAGTGCCATGCGGCACTCTATTGAAATTATGCCAATATAATAACCAGGTACGTCTCTTAAATCTAGGTGTGTTACGTGTGAGTTTTTGAATATGAGAAAATCTGACTATAAAGGTCTTTAGGATTTGTTCTGGCACTCTGGTAACTAGGAAATCATTTCTTTTATTTAGGACTAAAGATTGCATAAATAAGAGTAGCACCAACTTATCTGCTATGTTCAACGATTTAGTTTAGGAATTCTGCCTAAAAGACTTCGAATGATATTTGTAAGTTCCATGATCTTCATTCTTTGAATATAGCTGAATTCATGTTGCATAGGTATCATTTCATTTAGTATTTCTTAGTTAATAATAGGCGACATTGGATTGTTAAAACTTCATCCCTTAAACCTTAAGGTTGTTTGCCGGTCTTATGTGTTTAAAACTATCTTGCCTAAATCAGTGCACTTGTTTTGTCACTTAGACACCATGTTTAGGATTAAATGGCCTAATACACTACATGTCCGGTTGTGGATAGTATGTCGGAAAGCTAAGAGTTATATTTGTTTGCTTTGTTGGCTATAACATTACTGCCATGATGTTCTCAAACACATAGATACCATGACCTTAGGATTTTAATTCATCTAGATATTCAATCTATGGATAAAACATCCAGATTATCTTGCTATCCCAAGAGGGGTTCCTCTGATGGTAAGCAACCTTCACTTCCAACCAAGAGGTTGTGAGTTCGAGTCTCCTCAAGAGCAAGGTGGGAAGTTCTTGGAGGGAAGCATGCCGAGGTTCTATTTGGAAACAACCTCTCTACCTCAGGGTAGGGGTAAGGTCTGTGTACACACTACCCTCCCCAGACCCCACTAAGTGGGATTATTCTGGGTTGTTTTTGTTGTTGTTGTTGTTGTATACAAAGACCTTCAGAAGAAGAATACGAAGAAAATAGAAGCAATAACCACCTTTACAAATACGCTTCACCCTTCACTTCTTCACAGCAAATGCACATAATTCATCCCAAAAGAATCATGAAGTTCCAACCTCCAAAACGGCCAGCAAAACACCATTAAACCACCAACAACATTTACATTGTTTAAATAATGTATATAAAAATGTATAACAGTACATATACACCTATTAAATAACATATGAAGTCCGAGCCAGGTATATACACTAATGATACATTAGGGATACACCAAAAAATAGAGGATGTACTTTATACAAAATTTGTACAATGTAATAATATGTTGTTACGACCCAAACTCCCATCGGATCCGCAACGGCGCCTAACACTGCTTGCTTCACAATAACAACGAACTCAATAAACAGAACTTAATAATCTCAACAGCGGAAATATTATGAAATGTCCGAGAAAAACAATGGTAACACTACTACAACCATCCCAATGATTCGGTGTCAATGAGTACATGAGCACTACAGAATCCCAAAATACATGGCCATATCCTCAATATACTGTCAGAACAGTAGAACAATAATAGCAGAAATAAATGAAAGAGAACTTCAAGGCCTGCGAACGACATAATAGCTACCTCTTTGTCTCCACAAGCTAGAACATAATACAAATAATATTTGAATAAAAGCACCAGTAATGACTGGATAAGAGAAGATGATTCCAAGGAACTACGATCTAGAAAAGCAACTCGCCCTCGAGTCTCTAATCAAGCTCCAAAAGTGGGCTCCTGAACTCCACTAGTGCTGGGCTCGGTATTTGCACAAAAATATGCAGAAACATAGTATGATTACATTAACATCATACTCAGTAGTATCAAGACTAACCTCAGTCTCAAGATTTTGTCGAAAGATACTCATCTCCAAAAACCTGTGCAATTCATATACACAATAACTGAAAGGAGGTATGAAAATAGTGCAAAAGCTATTCACAACCTAAATATGTAAACATCATATATAAGGACTAGTAAGGAATAGCCCATGCTGTGCATGGACCAAATAACACTATGTTTAGTATGTGTAAATTATTCTTAATTTTTATGCATTGATAATATAAATTTTACTTAAAATGTCAAGTTATTAAAATAGCTATGGATATTTTCTTAGACAATGCCATCTTTCGTTCAAAATAAGTGCTTTTAAGTTTTTGACACACTCATTAAGAGAATTATTTAATAGTATTAATATAAGCGTTATTTAACTAAGTTATCCTTTATATCTTCTTAAATTACTCTTTGTGTATCCTCATATTTTGTAGATCATTTATTGGATTAAGGATGGATTTGAAAAATATTAATTAATGTCTTCTTGAATTTTCAAAGTCACAATGCCAAATTAATTTAGCTAAAATATTTTTGATTTAATGCTTTCTTGTTTTTTAAAGTCATAATTACTTTTGCCAAATTAATTTAGCTAAAATATTTTCGATCATAGGAAAGTCTGTGAAAGCTAAAGGTACTGGTAAGACACCATGTAATGCCTCAAAAGCGCTCTCTCTCTCTCTCTCTCTCTATATATATATATATATATATATATATATATATAAACATTTTAAAGCCATTTAAATATTAATTATGAAAATAACTTTACAATCAAGGACAAAGCTATTATTCTAATCTAGACTCTTTCTTTTTCATGTTAAGTTTGACTCTGTTTTACTCTGCTATTTTATTTTTATAAGATTTTAGAAATAAGTACTCCTAGTTTTAGGTCTAGTATTACTTTTTTGTTCCGTGAATTTCTTATTCTACTTGGTCCTTACTTTGTTAGTTTTATTAGACGTTGTTGCCATCATTCTATTAGTAGGAGTAATTAACAATTATTATGTACTAATGCTTGATTTTGAAGCTTCATTGTATATTTGACTATATCAAATTATTTTTCTCTCCTTTAGCAAACAAAAAGTGGCCATGTGCGAGATAATATATGGACACTTTACTGCTTTCATCGCTGGAATTAGTTAGTATTGGTAATGATACTTCTTAACCTCCTTTACTGCTTTCAATAAAGTACATTTATTCGCCAAGAAACATAGACACTTGGTATTGGAAGAAACTGGTTTCTTGTAAATTATTGGTACATATTTAATTTTATTTATATTATTTTATTACTTGTTAATAGTGTCAAATATTACAATATAAAAAGCACACATGCAATGAGGTCAAATATAATCATCAGACTCAATTGTATAAGAAAATATTCAATCTTGGACAAAATCAATACACTTGAACAAAAATCAATCCCGAGCCCAAGTGGTTAAGCCCCGGAGCAGAAGTTAAATTTTGGTGGCCATAACCTTATGACTCCAAATATATAACTATATTATCAATACAAGTCCAAATCGGTGTTCAAATTCTAAACTCCTTTCTTATCTTCTAAGGGAAAAGCACTCCTTTACATATTTTGGTTCCTAGTTTTAGGGGTTAAAGTCCATGGGTTACGACCCAAACCGAAGGGTTGTGACGGGTACCCGGTGCCTTACTTAATCGAGTACCAACATAATGTATCTTTCTTATATTACTATCATGGGTATATGAGCCGGAAAGATTAGCATGAGATAACCAGAATAAAACATAAGGGAATACTCGACATAGGACGATCCAACATGATATACAAATTTATACATGTGACATACGGTCTTATAAGGCTGATATGATCATTTGTACACTCAAAACATAGGCCGAAAAGGCCATACAAGCATCCATATAGATGACTTCTAACTACAAGCCTCTAAGAGTACATAAACGTCATAAAGGTCGGGACAGGGCCCCTCAATACCAATCAATACATGTCGAAAGAATACTGACCAAATAGCCAACTCTGGAACAAGTGGAGTACACTCACACCTTCTGCTGAGCCATAGCCTACTAGGAAGACTATCAACCTATCTATCGGGACCTGTAGGCATGAAATGTATCGTCCCCAGGCAAAAGGGTGTCACGACCCAATTTAACCCCTCTGAATATGTCGTGACGGCACCTAGTCTTTACAACTAGGTAAGCCAAATATTTCGAAAAATTTAAAGAAATCACTACTATAAAAATTAAAATAGCATATTGTAAAAAACAAGGAAAGAGCCTCTCGGTATACATAAAATAATCTCCCAAGAACCGGAATATCGCTAAGTCACAAGCTTCTATAATCTATATAGCTCTATACAAAAGTCTGAAGATAAACAAAAAGGAAATCTCAAGGAGGAAATAGAAGAGGACTCCGAGGATCTGCGGACTCGAGCAGAAATACCTTGAAGTCTCCTGGAATTAGCAAGCACGCACTAACCTCGAGGCTGATAGCTCGTACCTAGATCTGCACACAAAAACATGTGCAGGAAAGGGCATGAGTACACCACAATGATACCCAGTAAGTGCCAAGCCTAACCTCGGTCAAGTAGTGACGAGGTCAGGTCAGGGCCCTACTGGAGTGTGTATATATATATATATATATATATATATATATATATATATATATACATATATATAATATTAAGCAGTAAAAGATATAACTAGAGTTTACGGTAAAACAATTAAAGAAATTGCACAATTTTAACAGTTAAGGTAGTCCTCGGCTCAGATACCATCCCGTAGGCTCCGAAATGATTATGCAATATAGAGGGATCTCCCAGAATACGTCCGTAGTCCCAAAATAAATATGCCAGACAGGGGGATCTCCCGGAATACGTCCACAATCCCAAAATAAATATGCAAGACAGGGGGATCTCCCAGAATACGTCCGTAGTCCCAAAGTAAATATGTAGCTCAAGATAAAAATGGCAGGTACACCATCAAATTATACAGTTTAAACTAAACACAAACGAGGGAAAGAGTGGTCCACCTAAGCATGTTGCATATAAATCAAAATAAGCAGTTAAAACATGTAGGCATTATTTCCTAATCTAATCTCAGCAATTAAACATAGTAGTGCAATCTAACAAGGGAAAACAATTTATGATTAAGTAGGAGAAACGAAATTTTTGCAACAATAGCCC